CCAAGTGACAGTAAATGGGGTAATTAATATATTTTAATGAGTAAGATGAGCCATCAGTTAGGCAGTTCTTATAAAGTGGATGCATCGCTTGATAACGAGCCACTTTTAGAGCGATTCAAAGAATGTGCTCCGAACCGCGCTTTCAGTTTATTAATGTGTTCTTTCAATATCAGACCAGTTGCTCGGAACATTCAGACGTTTCACTGACAAAATAGCCGGTATCGTCAGCACCAGATCAAGAACAAAATGAAAAGTATAGTAAATCCGCTAGACCAGTATTATTTTAAACAGGTGTGGGTTTATCCTCTTCCCTACAATCCAAAACATCTAATATCTCGTAGCACAATATTCTTATCCCTAGCTCCCACTACATACTACAAGGAATTCTCATTATCACAATCCGTACCCAAGGCTTTTCCGATAATTCCCTACCCCGGGTAGTGTATCTGCACTTGGCAATGACCTAATTCTTATCAGCTTGTCCGTATCTTTTTAAACAGGCTAATTGTATTTTTTGATCCCAGTCAATACATGTGTATTCCAATACTAAAGGAGTTATTCCACTGTCAAGCTTCGAATATATGAGAGCATGTATATGATAGTACCACCGATGACAGCTGCAAAACCACAATTATAACGCCCACAATTAATCCCAATCTCCACTTCCGGACTACAAGCGCACAGATATTTTAACGTGTAAAATAATCTGTCATTTTCTCTGCTTCCGTTTCCAGCCCTGCAAAATTGATGGTGCTTTTTAGCCTTTATGTTGATTGCTTTCCTCGTTTCTCCAAACGTATCTTTAATCATACTTTTTGTAGCTGACGTCAAGTAGCCCATTTGCTTAAACTTTTCATGTTATGAGTGAGCTTTTGAGGAGCTTGAAGTACAATTTGCATGTCACCTTCAGTTTCCTGTCACAATCTCCTCTAAACCTCTTATAAGTGGCAATATTAAAAGAGTCGTTTAAGTATCGCATTATCAGTCTCGGAAGCTGTGATTAATTCGTATTCCAACTGGTCTATGCCAATTTTCGACAAAATAAACTAGTATGAGCTAAATAGATAAAATATATGCTCATAGATACGAATGTTGAATGCAAATTGGATCATCCTTATTGGCATATGGGGCAATCGCGTTAAAGGCCTTCTTTTATTCAGTTAAACTAGTAAAATTTCCAAGTTTCGTAAATGCCTTTGCACCAGGGACCTAAGTAAGCATTGGTTGCACACATCAAGCTAGCTCCCTGAAGCAAAAGGAAAATAGGACCAGAACAAAGGTTATGCAATCTTAGTCTCCATATCCAAGCATATTTCATATACAAATATAATTAAGCAAAATAAAAATAGCAGGTAGTAAAACAAATTGGGAGTAAAGCCAGTTCAATATAGAAGTAGAGTATATGAAGGAATAAGAGAAGTGAGGGAAATTTTGTTAAAATAAATAATAAAACTTGTAGCCTGCAAAAGAACAAGGATTAAATAATAACGGCCTTAAGTTATACATGAATAATAACTGAAAAAAATCAAAATAGCGGCGATTATTGGAGATAAGAGGCCAAAGTCATTAAAAACAATTTGTTTATGGGCAGGAAGTGGTACGTGAAAGAAAAGGAAAAACAAATCTAAATGAATGCCTTTACATGGAATTGAGTTAAGAATGCATTCAGACAGTGGAATAACTAGTTATTTATCAAAATAGACAATCTAAGAGACAGAAAAATACAGCAAATAAAATCCAAGGATGCAGTGCAGATGTATAATGGAAAGATAATAAATATAATATATGAAGACCAAGATGTTGTGGCCGCTGTTATGGTCGCGTTTGAGAATGTATCAAGTCCACTGTCAGATGCTGGGAATCATGACAACTATTATGGCAGACGACTTTGGACTAGGTACGTTCTACATAGTTGCCCTGACAACAAGACCAAGTTGCGAAAACGAGGTCAACTTACTTCTAGAGAAAGATAATAAGGTTGTATAACCGAAATTTAAAATGTGGGGGCCGAAAGCGAAATTCTAAAAATATGTGTTTACAGGACACATTGTAAGAAAAAGCGGGAAGGATTACATAATATAGAGATTAAACAAGTAATCATAAAAAATAGGTTAAGAGGAAAGCAACTAAATATATGAAGAGAATATATATGAGAGATAAATACATACGAAGTCAGAAAAGATGTTAATAAATTAAAAAAAGGCGTCAATGGAAGGTGTAAATAAGTA